GAGATGCAGTACTGCATGCCTGCCGTCAGAAACAGCAGAGATTGTGTGGTCGCGCTCTTATTAAGAGATTGTGAGATGCCGTCAGCCCGCCCTCCGTCAGCCGTCAGCCATCAGCCATTTCATATCCACTCGGTGAGATTGAGAGTGGAAACATTCAGGCACTCAGATTACAATACAAAATGAAAATTATTTATTTTACTGTCATTTACACTGATTACGGCCCTTTAGATTAGTGCCCATTGTGGCATCGTTTTTTTATGGTTTTTGTGACTGTGTGAAAACAAGTTACTTGGGTTGGGCTTCTCATACTTTACTTTTTATTTTATTTTAAAAATGTATATAATGCTTACTATCTGTATAAATCAGTGATATACCAAAAAAAAAAAAAACAAACAACACTGCTTCTGATTGAGAGTGGAAGCATTCAAAGCCTTTGTTAGGTGCTCAGCTCACAATATTGGCCACAGGAGAAATGATTTCTTGTACTGCCATTTAGAGATTACTGCCCTTTAGACAAGTGCTCATTGTGGCATATGAGAAAGTTTTATTTATTTTTATTGTTATGTAGAGACTGTTAAAAGTCTGCTGCTGAAAATAAGTATCTGTAGAAATCAGTGATATACCCCAAAAATGTATTTCTTTCTTAACAAAACATCCTATCCTTTGCAGTCAGATAGCGAAATCTGTAGTAAAGGGTTCTTTTTCACTCCAAGACTGAGCCAATATTCTGCTTACGTTAGTTTTTTCTCTAAGAGCTTTATAAAAAACAATGTCAATTGCAGTCAGGTAGTGAGATCTGTATTTTGTTCAGGTTAGAAAAGTGTTTTTTTTAACCAACCAACAACCATGAATCTGGACATCTGGTTAAAACAAGGCACTATCAAGAGAAAAATGATTACTGCTTCTACGTGTTCAGCACTTATACAAACTGAGAAATCCAGAAAACAGGTCAGAAATAGTTGAATAGTTGAATTTACTGTTCCTCAAATAGCAGAGACAAGTGACAAGTCAAAGAGAAAAATAAAAGCACACAATGCTGGCCAATCTTCTTCTCAAACAAAGAAAAGAAAATATGATGATAGCTACTTGTCATTTGGATTCACAAGTGCCAGAAATAAAAATATTCCTCAAGCACAATGCTTATTTTGCAAGAAAATATTGCCCAATAGTTCATTAGCACCTGCTAAATTACATTGTCATTTTGAGCAAAACCACCCAGAGTACAAAGGTAAAGACATTAACTTTAAGCAAAAGCTTCAGGAGTATCAGAAGACTAAACAGTTTATGAGCAAAATATTTAAAAATGATAATGAAAAAGCCATTTATTAAAAGGTTTGTGCTTTTTTTGGGGGGTTCCACAATGTCGGTATACTATGTCAAAGGGTTCCATAATGTTGGTATACTATGTCAAAGGGTTCCATGATGTTGGTATACTATGTGAAAGGGTTCCATGATGTTGGTATACTATGTGAAAGGGTTCCATGATGTTGGTATACTATGTCAAAGGGTTCCACGATGTTGGTATACTATGTCAAAGGGTTCCACGATGTTGGTATACTATGTGAAAGGGTTCCATGATGTTGGTATACTATGTCAAAGGGTTCCACGATGTTGGTATACTATGTGAAAGAGTTCTATGATGTTGGTATACTATGTGAAAGGGTTCCATGATGTTGGTATACTATGTGAAAGGGTTCCATGATGTTGGTATACTATGTGAAAGGGTTCCATGATGTTGGTATACTATGTCAAAGGGTTCCACGATGTTGGTATACTATGTCAAAGGGTTCCATGATGTTGGTATACTATGTCAAAGGGTTTCATAATGTTGGTATACTATGTCAAAGGGTTCCATGATGTCGGTATACTATGTCAAAGGGTTCCACGATGTTGGTATACTATGTGAAAGGGTTCCACGATGTTGGTATACTATGTGAAAGGGTTCCACGATGTTGGTATACTATGTGAAAGGGTTCCACGATGTTGGTATACTATGTGAAAGAGTTCTATGATGTTGGTATACTATGTCAAAGGGTTCCACGATGTTGGTATACTATGTCAAAGGGTTCCATAATGTTGGTATACTATGTCAAAGGGTTCCATGATGTTGGTATACTATGTCAAAGGGTTCCATAATGTTGGTATACTATGTCAAAGGGTTCCATGATGTTGGTATACTATGTCAAAGGGTTCCATGATGTTGGTATACTATGTCAAAGGGTTCCATGATGTTGGTATACTATGTCAAAGGGTTCCATAATGTTGGTATACTATGTCAAAGGGTTCCACAAAAAAATTAATTGGGAACCCCTGTAATAGAGGAAGAGGAGAGTTTGTTATGAAAACACTGCAACAATTACTGCATATTGCAAATAGGGTCTCAATTGTAAATGGATTGTTTTATACAGTAATAATAAATTACAGGAGAGGTAGAATCCAATAACACAAATATTATATATTATATAATATCAGGCAAAAGCAAAAAGAAGCACGCCATTCAGATAGTAAAACAATATCAGGATGAACCATAGAAATTGTGGGAACTACTAATTATACGTAGGAAATAATAACAAAGTATTTAACCAGGAAAGGTACATTCGGATTACTCTGGTTTTCAAGTATGTCCTGGGGATGTTACCTTACCCAACATCCAGGGGTTGTTACTATTACCCAATTTAATGGTACTCATTTTATCTACCTTGGAAGGATGAAGGGCTAAGGGCTAAGGGCCGAGCATAAAGTTCACAAATATTACATCAATGGAATGTCAGGATTGAATGTCATTTATATGAATCTAGGTACAGAGACCATGTGAAAAATATCAGCCGAATCCCCTTGAGCATCAGAACATCCCAGACGTAGTGGGACTTCATGTTCAGGGATTTCCCTTATTGTTCTGATATCAGATAAAGATAAAACTAAGTAGAGGGGTCCAGGGACTGAAGAAACATTCCACTGGCAATTAAAATACTTACACTACCAAGCATTAATATTACATGGGGAATATGAGCCTAAGACAGAAAACTATTGCAGCAAAACAATTTTCCTCCTGACAAACTTTCAACAGAGAAATCCATGGAAATTACTGATCCTCGACCCCTTAACAACCAAGAGCATGCCATCCTTGACATACATTAAAGGGATTGCACAACTCGAGGTCCCCATGGGATCAAATAGCAGAATACTGAATATAAGAAATAGCATATTCTCTCAAGTAAGCAGTTTATGCGTTCACTCCTTTCTAAAGGAATTTCTAAACCAACTCCAGTGCACCGAGCATTATTTCTGAATAAGAAATGTAAACCAGACCAGGAGAATTGAATTTTGCAGAGAAGAATCTTGGTGAAACAAACAGCTGGTATCAACAAAATTTAAATCAAGGTCAAATTTCATTTGCCAAAGTAAAGCATACCAATGAAAAATGTCAGGCAATTGCTTTGGAGAGTTAATTGTTCATAGGAGCCAATAGGGGTGGCGTTCTAAGGGCCGCCGGCCGCTGTGGTCCCGTTCTTAATAATAAGACACAGTGCCCACATTAAAGATGGCGCCGGCGTGCGTGTGATGTCACCCTGTCGACGCACACGCAAGTTTTAAGGTCAAAGGCCACGTACTGACCAAGTACAGCACTGAGAGGCATATTTAAACCCTGTAATGTATTATCTCAGTGTCCTGTCATGGGTTCTATTTATTGGTTGTCACTAAGCGCATTCTTGTTCATATTTTCTGTTTTTTGACATCGGCTTGTAATTTTGACTTTCCCTACTTCTGGTATCCTGACCTTTGGCTAGTATTCTCGTATTGTCTCAATCAGTATCTCCCGACCTTGGCTTGTTTATTGACCATTCTCTTCAGCATTAAGTTCGGCCATTCTAAGGCCCGGTATGCGGTGTGTTTTGTGTTAACATAGGTTTGCGTGTTGGGTCATACAGTAGTCATGAAACTCTGTTAATAGCCTTCAAGACACTACAGGATCCTCCTGTGTATGCCTAAAGTTTCATTTTATGATTAGAATTTAATTTACATAGCAGGAGATTTAAACTTCTAAAGCAAGTTAACATCTGATTTAAAATAAAACCATTTTAATGCTGGCTGTGTGAGTCACAGCCAAGGGAGGCATGGCTATGGTAGCATGGACAGAAACAACATTGATTGAACATCTAAATGGCAAAGAAATGAGCAGTGAGACTGCAGGGCCATGATCTATACACCAAAATTGCTTCAATAAGTTTAAGTTGTTTTGAACCTATAGTATCTCTTTAATTATACCCCAATCTATTTAAAATTAATTTAGGTTTTAAGTACTATTAAAAAGCAGGATTCTGCATCAGCTATTGTGGCTGTGCAACTCTGTTAATCCACGACATAAATAAAGATTTTTTTTTTTTTTTAAAGCAGAATTATCGGGGAAGGTTTTATTTTTGAATTAAGCTCATCCCGTGTTAGAAACTTTTTACAATATGGCTGTCAGTTTCATTATAGCATTTTTCTTTAAATGTATCCTTAACCACCTTAATCTCATTTTCATACATTTCTATATTTCACTCAATTCAATTAAAGTTACATTATCTAGCTATTTCCTAAGGTGACAGCTATCTTGAAGAATATAGCTGTTCACATCAACTTTCCTAAAAAAAAAACAAACCTCAGATCTGGGACAGGTTTCAAGTTGTTTTGATGCCTATAGTATCCCTTTAAGAAATCTGTTTTCCATAGATCGTACATTTCTCCTCACCACTACAAACACCTTTTGTGTGTAACTAAAGGCACCTTTAAGAAATAATGATTAATTCTTTTTAAATTTGGTTGGAATTACATGACAATGACAATCAATAGTACAAACACAGAACAAAACTACAAGTATAATATAAAAGTTCAACAGTACAGTCAGTGAATTGATTGTGGCAGGCTTGTTTTCCAATGTCTAGCAAAGTTGGTTCTTGCAGCTTCGAGAATATAAATAATTAACGTCTTTTGTAATCCCCAAAGTTGTGGAGGTACATGTCGAGGAGAAAATGTTCAGGTTGTTTTGGAATACAGAACTTAGTGGTGTCATAAATCATAGATTGTATGACTGTCCAGTTCACAGGTCAGTCCCAGAATATGTGACGAGGGTGCCAGGTTGAGTGGTGCATCTCCAACAAAGGTCAGAACTTGTAGGGTAAATATGTAGGAGTCTCATGGGGACCATATACCACCTCATGATCAATTTACAGTTGAGTTCCCAATATGTTATGCATTCTGATGTGCTGTGCATGATCAATGTTACTTTCTACCAGCAGGTTTTCCACATCTCCTTTTCCCATTGATGAATGACTCAATATTTTACCGATGTTTATGAAGAATGATTGACCGTGTTTTTTTGTTTCTTCATTCTCAGCCGAGACAGGCTATTTACACATTTCGGCATAAGACCTCCACTGTGTTTCGATGGAGGAGTGGGTGCAAGCTGCGGCTTCGCTCTTCTGCTGCTTTCACTGCTGGAATTGTGAAGTCCTTGGACCTGATATATAATGACATCTGCGTTCTTGGATGTGTTAACCTTCACTTTTTTGTTTCCTGGAGAAGCAGCAGCAGCAGCACAGAGCTCATAACACCCGTTTCAGGCAGGATCCCCCCCCCTTTTCTGCTTTTTTTCAAAATTTCTATTTCATTCTCATTATTAGATGTTTCCGTCTTACTCTGAGCTAGTCTTTCCTGTATGTCAGGTACCACATCCTCCATAACAACCTCACTGTTTTCTTTAACTTCATTTGATCTTTCGTTGCTGACACTTGACTTTTCCAGTGAAGGTCCATCCTGAGCATGCTACCCAGAAAAAAAACAAAATGTCAGAATGTATTCATTGAAGGAGCCTATTGTGCATTGCTATTCGTTAACATCAATGGAATGGGTGTGTAACCTACATTGTATATATAAAATTATATCTACACTAAGTGAGGAATAAAATAGAAAGTACACAAAGTACACACAGAGGATATAACAAGTCAGCACAATGTGCTACACTAGGTGACAGGCGGTAGAATGTGTATAGTGTATTACAGAAACACAGATAGGGAGGAGATAAATCACACACACTCTGTACTGCAATGTTCAAACTGCATACAGATTAAAAGGAACACAAACATGTATTTCTGACCCTATAGAGATAAAAAAAAAATGCAGTTTAGCCCCCTGGCCCCCCTTAAATAAGTTAAAACTCACCTTATTGATAGCACCACGCGAGTTTACTGGCACTGACCTGCCCCGATTGCCTCCTTGGCTAACATCATCAGAACTGATAATCTCAATCAATCACAATGTTTTTCCAAGCATTGGATTGGCTGATATTGTCAATTCTGAAAGGATGAGTGATATGCTGTGTATTTTATTTTATATATAGAGATACAAAATAAAAACAGCACCGATAAATGGAATATTAGAAAGTAGCCTTTATAATGATGCATACAGTGTGCTATGTGACAAGCAGGCAGTGTCTGAATGTATGGTGTATTAAGGTAACACACATAGAAAGTAGTGTTCCACTGTTAGCAGCGCTCGAGACCTGCAGAAATGCGTGGGAACGGTGTTCCTGCACTTTTTCCACAGCAGGAATGCCGTTCCCGTTAGTAGTACTGCAGGGTGGGGGCAATTGCACCCCCCCACCTCGAGAGCCGATGCTCTCCCCTGCAGAGCCAAGCGCCGACCCTGCTATGTGCCTTCATGGAGCTCAGTCTCTAGCCCCTCCGGGTCCTCCTCTCACGAGCACAGAGAGTTGCTGCGGTTACCGTGCTGGGACCACAAGGGAGGTTCCACCGGACCACCAGGAATTGAGAAACATCCCCCCCCCTCCCCAGCAAAGGTAAGAAGGGAGAGATCTAAAGGTTAAAAAAAAAAAAAGTGTGTGTGTGTGTGTATATATATATATATATATTTTTTTATCTGCCCCCCTGCTCCCCACACAATAACGTTCACATTCACACACTGCCCCCCCATAAATTCCCACCCCCGCACACACTGTACCCCCCAGACACACACACATTGTACCCCTCACACACAAAGCAACCCCCACAAACACACGCTGTACCCCACACACACTCATACTGTACCCCTCACACACACACACTGCAATCCTTTTACATACGAATAATAAAAATTTCAATTGAAAAGGGGGTGTGGCCAGATAGGGTGTGTTTTGTCATCCCCAATGACAAGCACGCCCCATCTGAAAGTAAGCATGCTGGTTCAATGCTCTTCCAGGGCAGACCATGTGCAGAGCTCTGCCGAAGAGCCCTACCATGAGAAAAGGGCCCTGTATTTGTTCTGCACAGTGCAAGCAAATTTAATAACATGCTTGCACTGTGTTTGCTTGAAACCGGTCTCAGGGGTTTCCATAAATGGAATATAGAGGCACTATGTGTTTGCTTAGTGAGTGTGTGTGTAGAGGATTCAAAGTGTATATAGAGAACTAGTGTGTGTATATCTGTAGATGATCCAGAGTTGGGTAAGGGATCTAGTGTTTGTCTGGAATATAATGTGTTTAGGGGTGCAGTATATGTGTGAGGGGTTCTGTAGCATATACACATGTTTGGAAGTATTGTGTGTGTGTGAGGTGCAGCGTGCTTGGGAGCTGCTGTGTGTATGTGTGAGGTGTGCGTGTGTGAAGGGTGTAGTGTGTGTGAGAGTGTGGGTGCTGTGTGTGAGGTGTGTTAGGGTGCTGTGTGAGGGTGATGTGTGTGTTAGGGTGCTGCGTAAGGGTGCTGTGTGTGTGAGTGAGGGTGCTGTGTGAGAGTGATGTGTGTGTGTGTATGTGTGTGTTAGGGTGCTGTTTGAGGTTGATGTGTGTGTGTGTGTGTGTGTGTGTGTGTTAGGGTGCTGTGTGTGAGTGAAGGTGCTGTGTGAGTGAGGTTGCTATGTGTTAGGGTGCTGTGTGAGTGTGATGTAAGTGTGTGTGTTATGGTGCTTTGTGTGTTAGGGTGCTGTGTGAAGGTCATTGTAACAGAACTCCCTGTACCCTGGCTGGGTACCTCCACCGACAGATGCTCCAAGTGCTTCTCAAGGACCATCAGCACCGCACTAGACACTCCACAAACCACCGTAGCTTTGTTGGGGTCTCGCCATCTCCTTCCCACCCTGGTCCAACCTCTAGATCCAGGACCGTGTGGAAAGGACCTCTCCTCCAGGAGAGTATAGCTGAAGAGAGCTCTTACAAGAGCTAGCAGTGATATAGCAGTTATAGCTGTTCCTTACAACACGAGATGAGGCTGCAAGTTGAGGGTAAGAAGGTCTGGTTAATTGAGCACAAAGGCATTTCTTTTATACACATTTTCAGGCCAGAGGCACACCCCCTGGACCTGATGGAACACAGGGACACAAACCAATAGGAACAATAATTATCACAGTAACACTGCCACATACAGTCGGCAATCCCACCCCTCTGCCTGTGATATAATTAAGAGAGCTAATGGAATAACTTAATTATCCACAGGCATAAAATACACAGTTTTACCCAAAGTTAAGAAACACCCCACAACTCAAACATATCCCCGGATAGCTCTGATCTGGGTGAACAACATATCCAAAAATCACCCATATCAGAGCAGGGGTTTAAAAGTTTTATGGAAGTCTCTTTTGACTGACCACAAGCATGGCTTTCATGCCCAAAATAGTTCCACAGATTTAGGCTGTGCGGCCGGTCTATCTTCTCATTCACATAATGTATAAATTGCATGAACAGATTCGTTCGTGCATAACTCCATTAGACGTGTCTCGTTCGGTAGTTTGCTTTCACTGAATAGCGCTCTGTTCGTGTGTATTTAGCCGAACGCATGGAAGGTGGAAGTCTCAGTGGTGTTCATGTTTGAGTGTCTGATTTTGGTTTCAGGCGTTCTACGACAAAACACCACTGAGTGCGTTCGGCTACACAAGATGGCCACCGCCACGAGTTCGTTCATATGAACACCGACCACCCGGCCCTTTCGTCAATTAGGCCACAGCTTCTGGGCGGTTAACCAGCAGCACACTCCACATGCAGGGTGGTCCGGCTGTTCGACGGTTTGTTTGGTCAACTTCATTTACCGAACCCCATAGGAAAAAAGTTATGCACAAACAAGCCTTTTTACTGGTCAACTTCATTTACCGAACCCCATAGGAAAAATGTTATGCACGAACAAGACTTTTTACTGTCTGTAAACAAAGTTTTAGACATGGGCCATAGTCCTGGGGCAAGAGACTGGTAATTATGCCCCTCCAAAAGCTCGTGGCAAAAGGCAATTCGTCACAGTGATATGTGTGTTAGGGTGCTGTGTGAGGGTGATATGTGTGTGAGTGAGGGTGCTATGTGTTGGGGTGCTGTGTGAGGGTGATGTGTGCGTGTGTTAGGGTGCTGTGTGAGGGTGATGTGTGTGTTTGGAGGGACTGGGTGTTGGGGTGAGGCAGGTTAATGCCAAGATTTATGTATTTTTTTATAATAATAAAAAAACCAAAAGCAGGCATTCTATCCCTTACCTGTAGCCTGGGAGGGGGGACCCTGCTGCTGCCATCCCTGGTGGTCCTAGTGTTGAATGAACTCTAGCCTGTGGGGCTTGAGTTCACTCTTGCGAGACCTGGAGCGGCTCCGGATCTCGCGAGAGGAACCCGGCAGAGCTGCTCCTCCAGGTCCTCTCCAGTCTCCCTTCCCCGCCGGAGGCAGCATCACACTGCATGTGGGCCGATGAGGGAGATCTTTGATCCTCCCATGGGCCCGTCAAGGAACACAGCGGGGATAGCGCTGGCTCTGCATGCACCAGCCGGGTGTGTGTGTGGGTGCAGTATGTGTGTGTGAGGGGTGCAGTGTGTGTGTTAGGGTGATGTGTGTGTGTTAGGGTGCTGTGTGTGTGTTAGGGTGCTGTGTGTGTGTTAGGGTGCTGTGCGCTGGTGATGTGTGTGTGAGTGAGGGTGCTGTGTGTGTAAGGGTGCTGTGTGGGGGTGATGTGAGTGTGTGTGAGGGTGCTGTGTGAGGGTAATGTGTGTGTGTCTGTGTTAGTATGTGAGGGTGCTGTGTGTGAGGGTAATGTGTGTGTTAGGGTACTGTGTGTTTGTTAGGATGATGTGTGTGCGAGGGTGGTGTGAGTGCGAGGGTGGTGTGTGTGTTTGGAGGGATTGTGTGTTGGGGGAGGCAGGTTAATGCCCAGATTTATGTATTTTTTTATAATAAAAAAATAACAAAAACAGGCATTACCTGTAGCCTGGGAGGGGGGACTCTGCTGCTGCTATCCC